GAGAAAATTTTGAATCCTAGATTCCTCCTAGCTGCCTTAAATTCTTCTCCAAACTATCCCAATATTTTACAAACTAGAAATAAAAATAACTTTTCTAAAATATGTATTGGGTTTTTTTATACCTCTTGCTTGAGGTCATTTGCTGTCTCTTGAATGATAAAATATCATTTGACAAAATATAATTTGGAGGCCTATTGATGTACCTAAGTCCAACCCAACTAAACCACATTTTAAAAGTAAAAGTATTGCTTTGACAGTTTTCATGTCAACAAGATACTAGACTTGTTTCAGAAATAAATTGCTAGAAGTATAATCTGGAGACTCTTCAGGAACCTGAATCTTATCTGCTGAGTGAAAGTGTAAGGTACTCTAAGAGTTAAACAGTTTCCCAGTATTACAGGGTAGGTTAATATCACAGCTGCCTGGTAAAGAATTATCCCAGCACCTTACTTAACAAAAGCCTCCTTTTGCAAACAGATTCCTACTTTCCCCCAAGTGTCCAAAGGTGTTTACTGAAGTAAATCTGCCTAAATCCTTCATTGCTTGGGTCATGGGGGTGGGGGTGGAGGTTTGCGCTCTCTCTCTCTCTCTCTCTCTCTCTCTCTCTCTCTCTCTCTCTCTCTCTCTCTCTCTCTCTCTCTCGAAGGTGTAGAGATAATCTCTTTTTGTAAGTTCTAAAAATCTTCTGGGAAAAAATCAGGAATCTGTGTCACATGCTTCTGTTCAACTAGTAACATCTCGTTTAGTTTTGCTTATAAGTGAAATCTGCCATAACAGCTATTGGAAAATATCTGTCCCTGTTTGAGATTGTTCATACTGCTATTTTAGTAGATTGCTCTCCCAAAGTTGTTTTTAGTGTGTTTAATCTAATTGCGGATGAAAAACTGTTGGTATCTTAAAAGTGGTTTTAGAAAACTGACAGTTTGGTAGAAAGATAGTGCAGCTGAAAACTTGTCACGTAAGATTTCTGCTCTTACTATGGTTTCATTCCAATACCATTAACTGCATGTTACTTTTACATGTTGCAAATGGAGGCAAATAACACAGTAAAATCTGACAGGTCTGCCTGGAAGGGTTTAAACAGCTCCCAGTAAGCAGGAACTCTTTATGAATAAACTTTCTCTTACAGGAGAAAGTGAATACCACCAAATCCCCTAAAATTTTAAACTACCCAGTTTGAGATACCAAAAGGCTGTCATCTCACAAATGTTAAACATCCTTAAAAAATCTGAAAAAAAAACACACTATAGTGAAGGTGTGAAAATTGTGGCACTTCTCAGCCCTCAAGCTTTTTAAAATAGAACAACTTTTCCCCCCTAAAATTTTTTTTTGGTGGTTTTCCCCTTCCCTTCCCTTTTGACTTATTTGAGGATTCCTTCTCTAGCTTCCCTTCCCCCACTTGAAAATATGAATTGTCATGAAAAGTTTAACAATAATAACAACAAAAACAAGAGGAAAACCTTTTCCAGTTTTCCCTTGGAATTAGTAGTGGATAGGCTGGATATACTTGTCTCTTTCCCCCTACCCCCCTGATATAGACACCCACTACCAGAACTAAAAGATGTGAAATCCAAGGAGCACTTCTGGCTGCCACCTTTATCTAGAGACAAGGTTTCCCTCCTCTCTCCTCCCTCACTGTCTTCTTGCTCTTCCTTTCCCCTCCCACACAGCCCACTCCCCTCACCTTCCAGGTCACTGTGGGTAAACAATAATAGTAATTAAAACAAAATAATGGGCAGCAGTCAAGAGCTGAAAGTCCACACACCTGACCCTAAGTAGAACGGCTTCTCAGAGTAAAATTTGATCCCTCCCTGACACTTTTTACCTCAAGTGTTAGAGCGAGTGGCCATGAATAGTACAGGCATGCCATCTTGTAACACTATATGCCTGTCAGAAGAGCCAAGGCTTGGTAGAGCATAAGCTATATAAGGCTTGTAACTAGGGGAAGCCCAACAAACAGCGACAAACACCTAAGTTATTTTACTCAGCCTCCACCCTCTGCTCCCCGCCCCCCTTTCTCTCTCTCTCTCTCTCTCTCTCTCTCTCTCTCTCTCTCTCTCTCTCTCTCTCTCTCTCTCTCTCTCTCTCTCTCTCTCTCTCTCTCTCTCTCCCCCCCCCCTCTTTTTTTTTCCTTTTCATCTTGGCTTTCTGTGGCAGAATGCAAATGTAGCCTGCCGGCGGTGAAAGGGCTGAATTGTGATTAAGAAGAAGAAGAGCTCCTTTCTTTGTTCTCCCCTCAGGGGATGTTTACTGGGAGAGACACAGCGGATCAGATATGAAAGGCATTCAGGTCAGCATTGATGTGAGCGAAAGTGAAATCATACCTAAGGCATTCAAAAGACCGCCGTGTCAGGGGTTCAGCTAACGGTGCATCTACTGTGTGTGTCTACCCTGGGAGGCAAAAATCTTTTCACAGACCGGCGATTCCCCCCCCCCCAATTTACTACAAAATTATAAAAGTTTTTCCCCCTGTTTACTTCCCATCAGAAGCCACAAGAGTTAGTGTGTTCTTTCCTCATGGACCACAGAGAACAATTAAAGAGACCAATTTGTATTAAGTCTAGCAGCTAGATTAGCCATAAATTTTAACCATGATCTGAAATAAGCCACTTTTTTTTTTTACAGGTGTGTCTATCTCTATCCCATATATGTATAATAAGAGGGACGAACTATGGGACATTCAGGCATTGTTGAAGATAAAATTCCCTTTGTAAAAAGATAGATATACATATATGGGCACAATTGCCTTTCACCTCCCTCAAGGGACACATAATGTATGTATAAAGTATAAAAAATACAGCACACCTCAAAAAGCAATGTTTTATTTACTTTGTAACTCCTAGTTACACTTTGCTGACCACTAACAAAATGACATGACTGTCACCCAAGATAAAATTATTTTAAAACAGTGATTTAAGTTAAATGCTTCCAGATAGTCTAGTGATTAGCATCATTTTCATTTAAAATGTTGGATGAAGAAATACTTGGATCTTACTTAAAAAAAAAGTTTACACTTCCCATAGCCTAAATATTCTTTCAATAGATTTTCCAAGTGGTAAGCTGATGCTGTTGGAATAAACAGAAACATGTAAATATATACATGTATGTGATTTATAAATTTGAGCAATATACAAATAAATAGGACATGCCTAGATTCTTAAAGATTTAAAAATCAAGTCACATTTTGTCTTAAAGTACTTTAAAAAGAGAGAGAGCGAGAAACAGGGCAATATCTTGATGGAATTACTGCTTTTATTTTTAAAATTCCATATCTTTGTTAAAAAGCATAATTTCATCCACTTTAACATCTGCTTTAATGGCAACATTTAATTCTTTATATTTTCAACTAGTGTTTCTGCATCACAGATTTCTATCTTTTTTTCTCTTTACTCGAAAAAGACCACTAAAGAGCAATCAAAAAGGTGTCTGACTTGGCCATTCAGACAATTGCACCCTTGTGGGAATGCTGGAATGAATGGTACAGTGGACACCCCAGCACTATTGACGTTATAAACATGTAAATGAAACACATTAGGGCAGACAATCAATTGTCTGTGAGCACTGCAAACCTGCACTCCCTTTCTATGTGACAGGCACAAAATAGTGTCTACCTTGGGAAGCCATGGTGTTGGGAGAAAAAAGGACAAAGAGTTCTCTTTCACACAGAGGAAAATGCACCTTAAAAGCATTGGAATAATGCAGATGCCAAAAACTGTTGTGAGGGAAAGAATTTCCTATTTCTTGGGTTGAATGCCGCATTGCTATAGAAGAACCAACACACTTTTTTTTCTACCTTCAGGAGAGACACATTTTTTAATAGGAAATATTCTCAACATAGCGTTGGGTTCTTTTAAAACCTCTTCATACTTTTAAACTCTCAGCAGTTTCTTATGTATAAGCATTTGTTTAGCAAGGAACTTCAACCTTGTTTTATTCTTTTTCTTTTTTGAAAAGAAAGACTTTGCAATATTAGTTCATTTTTCTTAAGTAACAAGGGAAAATTTAAAGTTTAAAATTCACAGCTCTAACCTTACCCTCAAGAGATAGATCATCAGGGTCAAATTGTCACCAGGCTAGTGGCTATGCAGTTGAGAAATGCAGTATACTGCTGCAAAAGGATATGCCATACAAATTCAGCTTCCCCAAACTGGTGAAAGATTAAGAAATGAGTCTGGATGCAAAGTCCCAACCTTCTGAGTACCACATCAAAACTTCCAGAAGACATCCATATACAGAAAAAAGATGAAGACGAGTATCTTTGAAGTTCACTTAGAATTTGGTACCTTAATACCAAGTATCGTCTGAGTGCTTTAGGAATCAGCAAAGCATTTTCCCTATAAGCTAATCAACTTTAAAAGTAATCTACGTGCAAAAGATTTTCACACTAGCAAAGATAACCAGGGATGGGTCGGGTCCCAACTGACCGCTATATGTCTGGACCACCTGAAATTTTTTTTAAAAAAAGGCAATTTTCCTGCCTTGTTCTGTAGCTTGGGCTTTTTTTTTTCTTTCAGCTGTATTCAAACTTCACCTTAACACGCAGGAAAACCCTTCATCTCAGGAAGGAGAGACCTACTAGATAGATCTTTCAGCTGGAGCGATTTTTCTTTTTTCCTTTTATTTAAGCATCTTTGAAAGGAAGCAAGATTTTCTTCCACCCCCACCCTTTTTCTTATATCCCTTCACTTCCCCCCCCCACGGCCTCCGCACACCCCCCCCCCATCCACCTTTGCAACACCATTACCGCTTCGTACTTTTTTTGGGTGGGTCAGAGTGCGGAGGTGGGGGTGAGTCCTTATAAATAGCATTGTGCCCGTTTGCTTTCTATTCCCTCTCGTATCAAACGCACTGAACTTTATCCTTTTCTTTACCATTGAAAATGAGATGCTAAAGAAATCTAAGAAAGCTTTTTACTGAAACTTTGGAGAAAATCAGACTTAACTTTTTCTTTCTCCCTCTCTTTCTTTCTTTCTTTCTTTCTTTCTTCTTTCTTTCTTTCTTTCTTTCTTTCTTTTTTCTTTCTTTCTTTTCTTTCTTTCCTTTTCCCCCTTCTTTTCTTTTTGGAAAACAATTTCTGGTTTCCAAGGGACAATGTAATTCCATACATTTTTAAATGGCTGTCTACTTTTGTCTTTCTTAAAGGGCGTGTGTAAATTTTTTGGGATGGGGAGTTGAGGGGGGAGGAATGCTGGTGCTTCTCCTTAATCTCAGGCTCTGCGTGAAGCGTGAGAGGAAGCAGGAGCATCTCCAATAAGTCGGCTGCAGTAAACGGGGGTCAAAGGCAGCAGCAAACTTTGCAAGTTGCCACTGCTGCTCTGGTGACAGGCAAGACCTGGGCATCTCCGTCCCAGTGAGATTCTTCCTATTAGAATGCTGTGTGAACGTAGTGCGGTGTAATCAGAGGAATTAAAGGGGGGGGAGGTTGGTTTTTTTTCCCCTCCCGCTTCAGTGAAAGTGTTACAAAGTGAGTCAGGCGACTGTGGATCATCTGACTGAACTTTGCTGAAACCGACACACATTCCTGTCTGCGGGCTCCTCGCATTTCGATTCCTTTCCCCTTACCCCTACTCCCACTTTTCTCCTTCACATCTTATTTTCTGGGAATAGATTTCATCTTTTTACATGGAGGAAAAAACGGGATATTTTCTGCCTTAGATTAACTTTACTCTGATATTCTCCCTCTACGCTTCCCTGCTCAGTTGTGATTCACCTAGTTATTCTGGAGAATTATGAAGCTTAGATTGTAGATTCCTTTTCCTCTCACTTGCTAGACTTATTTTCCTCCAACCCTCCTAGTCTGCCTCTTAACAATTTTATTTAGCATTGTCATCCAATCCGTGTTTCCACCAAGCATCCTTTCAAATGCACAAACAACAGCACACATTTATCCCTAGTTGGTTTATTCTATTTATACGTAGTTGACTTCATTAACACACACACACACACACACACACACACACACACACACCAGCCTAGCTTACTGTTTGACCATCTTTTCTGCAGCTTCTTTTTCTATTCTTGTTGTTATTATTATTATTCCTTTCCAGGAATTTCTATATGATTTTGATAAGCATCATCATATTTAGTGTTATCAGCAAAGACACAAGCTCAGAAGTGACATCCTTTCCATGAATCCAGGAGAGAAGAAAAATCCACTCAGTTCAGATAAATCCTGGCAATTCCCAAAGGGAAAGGCATTGGATACGAGCTTGACTAGAGAGAAAATGAAAAACTCTTCTACCTGCTTCTCAAAATCAGGACATTGCTCCGGCAAGAAGAAACAAATTATTGAACACAAAGAAAAGCACTGGAAAAACAAACTATAACTTCACAATTAACTAACTGAAGAAAGACAAGTAAGGGGTGAGTTAGAAAACCATGTAGCTAACGTACAGACTTTAGATTAAGTTTTCAGGGTCTTGAGGATATACTTGAAATTTGCAATTAAACTTTCCTCCCCAGAGTGTTCTGGATTTCCCAAGCTATTGAATATACAGGACATGGTTTTTTGAGATGCAACAGAAATATCATTCAGGTTCATATTTGCTCCCTAAGATTGTTTATTATAGCTAGTGCTACACATTATACTCATTATCTGTTCCACCTGCAGAGTCCCCATATAGTCCCTCCCTCTCCCCTTTCCATTAAATTGTTTTCAGAAAACATGAAACCAGGTAATACACTCTTCCTAGACCTATATTATGTCTTTACATTAACTGTAAGGCTAAACTATTTATCTATATCCAAACCAAGAGAAGGGGGTGGGAGGAGGAAGGGACAAGAAACAAACACTCAAAATAGTCTTTACTGCGAAAGAGCACTCCTGGAAACCTCGCTTTAAATCTCATTCTCTTTTCTCGAAAAAATGACTGTTTAACATGAGAAAAAAAGGCTCCTTGACACAAAGCTTTTGTTATCCAGTTGATCAGCAACGTGCTTTAGATACTTGTAAGGGTGGAAAAAAAAGCCCCACAACAGACATTGATTTTAGAAAATCAATAACCAACATTTAATAAAAAGAACAGAGGAAACACAAGAGAGGAGAGGGGAACATTACGTGTAATTTTAGTGTCTACTAAATTACCCAGAGATGAGGAAAGGGGAGGTCTCCAGTGTGAAGACCACCTTAAATAATGACAGACACAAGAGTAAGGAAAAATAGGGGGAAAAAACCACAAGACTTAAAAGAGGCAGCCTGAACAGATCCTGGGGAATCTCCACTGAATATATTATTTTGCTTGGGTTTTGTTTTGATTTTTTTCTTTTGTAATACTAAAGCCAAGCAAATAGATCAAAGACAACACAAAGAGAAAAGCCAGTGTAACATAACGAACAGTTTCTGACTAAAATTCCTCTATCACTCCCCCATATGGCTCGACACCTCCGCCACAACAAGAAAAAGACACACACGCACGCACAAAACCTAGAGAGAGAAAGACAGGATCATTTGTCTCCAATCAAAAAATTCTCTTCTCTTTGTGTTATTCTCCCTCCACACCCCACATCCCACACCCCAGTCTCTACTTAAATTCTGTAGCTCAGCTTTAAGGAAAGGGATTGAGGTTCATACAATTGTCTTCATTTCTCCTGATCTCTAGAGGAAAGTTGCTGAAAGTGGGGCCGGGAAGTCCATTCAGGGCTCTGGGAGGGGGTGGGGTGGGGGGGCTTTCGACTACGGAAGCAGTGGAGAAAATAGGGAGGGACAGAACCCCACACCAGAGTAGAAGCAGCCAAATTGTGAGCTCAGTCCAGAACACCACGTCCCATTGAGCTCAGCCTCTCTGTAGACTGCAGAGACCAGGGGAGAGGGCAATCATGGGCGACTAGACAAATTGTTTTATCAGTATTATTATGATTACACTGGAGAAGTTTCTTTCATATTTTTTGAAAAAGTAAGTATTCTCCTCCACCATCCTCCTGTCATGGTCTCACTCCTTCTTCCTCACGCATTTCCCCTCCCCCAATCTCCCTCACCCCCTAATGCCAATCACTTTTTCTTTTATTCCCACGATTTTGTTTCGGCAATGCCCAGTCCTTAAAAAAATGGACCTATTAAAATGTCACCCCTTTTTCTTCCTTTTTTCCCCCCTTCCATTACCTCCTCTCTTCTCCTCTCTCTCTCTCTCTCTCTCTCTCTCTCTCTCTCTCTCTCTCTCTCTCTCTCTCTCTCTCTCTCTCTCTCATCCACACTATCCCTCCACTTATTTTCTCTCCTCCCCCTCCAACCACTGGCGTGTTTTTATTCCCTTCTCCCCAGTACTCTCCATATCTCTTTCCCTGCCATAAGGCATTAGAGCTAGGGTGATCTTGACACGAAAACTGGCCGGAAAGTGCCTTTGGTCCCTAAGAGTCTTACATATCCTGCCGTTGTAGAAAGCAATCATATTAAAAAAGGAGAGATACGTTCACACACACACACACACACACACACACACACAGGCGCGCGCGCGCGCAAGCACACACACACACACACACATACACACGGTGGTAGAGAGTTAGCAGGGTCCTGGGCAGAGCTTTGAAGAGGGACACAGGCAAAAGAAACCCAGGACCGTTAGTTGGGGGGGGAAGAGAGAGAGAGAGAGAGAGAGAGAGAGAGAGAGAGAGAGAGAGAGAGAGAGAGAGAGAGAGAGAGAGAGAGAGAGAGAGAGAGAGAGAGAGAGAGAGAGAGAGAGAGAGAGAGAGACTTGCAAAGGGACTCAGTCAGTCAAGAAACTTTCCGTATTCCTAAGGCTCAGCTAACGGAGCTCTAGCTCTCAGATTCATTCTCTCTCTCTTTCTCTCCTCTTTTTTTTTTTTTAAATACTCAGTAAATTTGAAGAAAGTCCCAAGATTTGGTACTCTGCTCACTGGATCCGAGACTCCAAAGAGGTCGGGAGGGGTGGGGGTGGGGGGAGCGGTGAGAGAAGAGGAAGAAGAGGATGTGAGGGTGGGGTGGGGGTGGGGGTGGGAGAAGCAAAGAGGAGATGTAGTCCAGGAGAAGGGTCTAGGAACCCCCGGTTTCTTTGACACTCACTTTCCCCGGGACTTCCTTGAACTCTCTCTCCCCCTCCAGAAATATACAACAGGCGGATCTCTCCTCGGCCACATAGAAAAGCGATCGCCAGCAAACCCCGGGGCGGCTGCTGCTGCTGCTGCTGCTGCTGCTTATTTTTCCTCCTTCTCCCTCTCCCTCTCTAGTGGAGTCGAAAGGAAAAGTTTGATTCGGGGTTTTTCTTACCGTTTTTCCTTCTTGGATTGGCTTGTTTTCGCCTCTTACACCTGGGGCCATCCGCCATGATCTGCTGCTTCATTGATAAGAGTGGATCAGATGGCAGGCAGTTCGCATGGACTCGGCTCCCTGATTCAGCAGCACGCAGACTCTATCTAACAACCAAACACAGCAACAATGTGGGCATTGGTATATCCCATTTAAATGCAGGGCGCCAAAGGGAGCCCAAATATTCACCCGAAAAGAACCCATCCACGCACCCAAAAGGACTCGCCGGGGTTGAAAACAAAACTAAACTTCTTCCCCTGGCCGAGTAGCTTTGTGTTTGTTAATGTTTTGTGTATTGCACCAGCAAAGGAGATCAGAGACAAGAATTACATCTTCAAAATGAGTCATAACTCATGACCGTATGAGGGAATGCACAGGGTTTTACAGTAGGCTGTTTGACTCAATGCTAGGCGGACCATTTCCTCCGAAAAGTACTTTAGCCCAACATTGTAACTTGTTTTCTGGCGATTTTTTTTTCAAAGGAAAACACACATACACACACGCAGCACACTTAGGCAAATTGATAACAGTAATTACGTTAAGCCTGGTCTCCCCCCCGGCCCCCCGCCACCCACCACACACCATCACCCTTTTGGAGTTAAACAAGACGCTGTCCCCCAGGTGGGATTCCCCCTCCCTTCTTTCCTAACATAAGAATAATTATAAGCCTTTTGCACGGTACGCTCCCCCCTCCCCAATTTGACAATATTTATTCAACACCCTCCCCACATACACATATTCCCTCTCTTCACTATTCCATATTGGTCCAGTTAAACAGCTACAGTATAATTTTTCAAGAAAGGAAATAGAAATCAAAACCACTACTGTAATACTTTCAAGCTTTCTAAATGGTCATATCCTTTCTGGCTTGTAAACTTTTGTGCCTAAAATATATATATGGAGAGAGACACTGCATTTTTGAGTAAAATCTGTCAGAACTTGGAGAGAGGGAACTCTTGGTTTGGAGAATACTAGGGATCCTGAAAAGAAGTCCATCTTGGAGAAGATGCTTTGACTTGAGGATTAGTTTAAACAGGGGGCTATAAAAGATGTAACAGATGCAAACTGTAAAACAAGGGCAATTAACCCTTCCTCTGCCGGACAAAATCTGTTCTAGCCCCAGCACCTATTGTCTACTTCTATACTAGAAGCTTTGCAGAAAACCTGGAAAGCGAGTATCAGTTTCCACTGGTTTGCCGAGAGGGGTGGAAGTATAAGGGGGGGGGGTTGGTGGTGGTGGTGTCGATGGTAAGGGGTGGGGTGGGAAATACATATTTTAGAAAGGATCTTAACTTCAAAGTAGACATTCAGTAAGACTTTTGCAGTCAAGCTTTTTTGCCTTTTTTGTTTGTTTGTTTTTGGTGCCATTTCTGAGCTGTCCTCCTGTTCTTTAATTGTAAAAAATAAAATGAATTAAAGAAATGCTCGGGTTAAATGTTTGAGATCCTAAAGCTGGCCTGCCTGCCTTTCTTCCTGACAAGTCCACTCCACAGAAATACATGTTTAACAAGCTGAACAATTTTGTAGGAATATGTATGAAGGAGAGATGAAAATTAAACTTTATCTTTGCCAGTTACTTGTAACTCTGAAGTTACAAGTTTATCTTTACATCATCCTTATACAGGGAGCACATAAAATCCAAAAGTAGATGTATGTGTGTATGTGAGTGTGGGGGTATAAACAAATTCACAGAAGCTGGAGCTTAGCATTCATGAGGACTCTTCATCTGAGCTTTGCTCTTATATAGGATTCTTAATGTCAAACTATTAATAGTGGGGTAATTTAAACACAATTCTATTTTTTATGACTAGTTAGCATTTAAAATTTGTTCCTAATTTAAAATCCTAAAGTCCTGACAGCAGTTTTTTTTTTTTTGCAGCTGGAGTGACCCCCCCCCATCTCCCTTTGGTGAAGGACTCTAAGTTCCAGTCATTACTTTCACTTCTTTATTTATGATCACAGAAGCTGGGGTGTTACTTCACACACATCCACACAAAGAATGAAATAAAGAAATGAAACTCACTAGGCAGACAAAACAGCAAAGTTTTTGCTTAGAAAACATCCCTTTTCTATGGGAGAGGATGGGAAACTACATCTGGGAGAGAGGCTTTTCCTGAATTTGCTGTCTGAATTGACCACTGCTTTGCAATTATTAACAGGTACATGCAAAGTTTAAGATTCTTAGAGTAATTGATTTTGTTTAGATGCTACAAGATGACAGCAGATGTCCACCTACTGACTTTGTATATAGCTGAATTACTTTCAGTAAAACTTTTGCAAAGATGGAAGAAATATGGAAGCAAAATGCACCTTGGTTACCTGGATGAACAGGTACTGGGAAAAAAATTTGGGAGGGAAAAAGAAAAGTAAAAAAGGGGAGGGAGGAAGAGAGAAGAAAGAGATCGAGGAAGAAGAGAGAGGAGAGAGAGAGAGAGAAGAGAGAGAGAGAGAGAGAGAGAGAGAGAGAGAGAGAGAGAGAGAGAGAAGGAAAAGAGAAGAGGAAAGGAGAGGGGAGAGGAGAGATCACTCTAGGGAAAAGCTTTCCATAAAAGAACGAAGCCCACCTGAAATTCTTGCCCTCACACTTCATGTCTTACTTCAGAATCAACTCCCATCCAAAGGGACCACGAGAGAAAAAGAGGGAAAAAATACAATGCAAAAAGAAAAAAAAATAAGGTAAAGAAAAAGAAGAACCTACCTGCGAAGTCTTGTTTGCAGTTTTGGCCAGAAATGGTGAGAAGAAAAAGCATGAAGAAGCCGCGAAGTGTGGGGGAGAAAAGGTGGAAGAGAAGCAGCTCCTGGAGAAAATTGTAAAAAGCCTTGCAAAGAGTTGTCGGAAGGACCGTTATTCCTGCTGGGCAGGTTAGGACTGATCTCTTTCTGCCACTCCAGGAAACACAAACCTGGGGACGGACTGACGTGTTACGCCTCTTCTAATGACATTTTTTTCTTTTTCTTTTCTGTAGAGAAGAGAGGCGAGACCCTGAAACACGCGCCACCTATCTTTGTGGGGAGGGATAATTGAAGAGCACTAAACGTGAGCATCATGTGAAAACGTGATCGCCAAGTTTCTCTCTGGGAAAGGATCTGGGATAGATTATACCTTGAAGTCTCCGCAAACGCTTTAGTGGAAGAAATGAAATTCCACCTCCCTCCCTTCCTCCCTCCCTCCCTCTCTCTATCCCTCCCTCCCTCTCTCCCTCCCTCCCCCTCTTCTCCCCCCTCCTCCCCCCTCCCTAACCATCAAGTCTTTGGCATCATTATCCTCTTCACTAAATCCTACTGGATACAAGGCGGAAAACGGTGAACACCATTCACAGAACTGGAGCACTCAAAGGAACCGAAAGTTAAAGGCAAAGATCCTGTGTCTTCAATCAAGATCTCTTCTTCTTACAAAGATATCTCTAATGGCCAGATTTCAGATGCACATTAACTTGTGTGGATTTCTCAGTACGGCTCCCAGCACTAAAGTCTTTGCCCTTTTTCTCTAAGATTTTCTTTTCTTTTCAGACGCCAAAACCATATAATAAAATTATATGAAGAAACTAAATGCTCATGTGAACTGCATCCTAGGGCATGTAGATCGGGATTCCTGGTTTTTGTCCCAACGTGTTCGGGGTTACATTGGACAAAAAGTGTGTTGGACGAAATTCTTTAGAATTGGATCACTAAGAGAGAGTATGGGGTGGGATGATCTCTGGACTTTTCTCCAGCCCATATATAAGTATATATGTATATGTGTACACACACACACACACACACATACACACACACTTTGTGTGTGTGTGTGTGTGTGTGTGTGTGTGTGTGTGTGTGTGGTGAGGGAAGAGGAAGCAGGGGGAAGGAAGGAGAAAGAGGAACTTACTAAGGAAAGAAGAGAATGATATTAAACTGCATGAGGTCTAAGTTTTTCAAGGTTTTTTTTTGATATTGCAATAAAATAAAATAAAATAAAAGGCTCCACCTTTGCACTGAAGGGATTGGTTATGTAAATATGTAAGGGATTTCCTGGAGAATACAGCTTTCTACTGTATGGTTAATTAAATCATCACTCAAAAGCTTCCAATGTGACGCTTCTGTCGTAATCCAATCAGGTTACGTAGGTCCTAAACAAGAAAGATATTTTCCACATCTGGAAGTCAGCAATTTAGCAAGTACTGCACATTATTAACCAATTCAGAGCCCACTTCCCAGGGGGATTTTTTGAAGTTTAAGTGTTCTTAACCAATGCTCTGCTGTTTTGTTAATCAAAAAGCTGGTTTACACTGCACATAATTGGAACTAATATAGAAGTAAATAAAGGCAGCCAAATTTGTGGATGCTGAGCACAGACATTAATCTGGATGGAAAAAATCTCTTAGCCTCGATCAGTTCAGGCTCAGTTCCTTAAAGAACCAACAGGCGTTTCTTGCAGTGAAAGTGCTTTAAATAATCTCAATGCATAAATAAACGTCCAATTCTACGAGCTTGTATTATTCTACCAAAAGATAAACATAGAGGTGGCTACAGGTTTGGATGACTGTCTATGCTTTCATAGAGTTAAATCTATTACTGCATTTTTTTTCAGTCTGATGAAAACTGAAACAAATGATACATTGATCTGGCACCATACTTTTACTTACATTAACTTGAGATAAACTGCTTTGAACTACACTTTGAATATGTGCCTAAAGCAAGAATTTGAATGCTAGCAATAGTCACTAGTAATCTCACTCAGAACTATTCCTCACATGAAAACACCTTTCGCACAAAGAAGAAAAAAGCAAACATATGCATTGCAATATACTCACATCTTCCAAGGTGCATTTATTTGTATTTTCTACATTTTAAACAGACCGAACTTGTCACCTTGAATTGCAACAGTCAGATTTGATGTATATATATGTATATATATATATATATATATATAGATATATATATAATGTGTGTGTGTGTCTAAATATACATATATATGTGTATGCATATATATTTTTGGGAGTAAGGAAGATTTAACAGTTGGTTACTGACTTGTCTCTGTTATATGTCACTTTAGTGCATATTTATTAAATAGAGAATTACTGGACAAATGAATCTTTCCTTCAGGCTTTCAGATAGCTTCTATAGCAGGGTAGAATACAAGACCTTCATACACACAAAAGGAAACCAAATATTAAAGGCAAAGGTCAGATAATTTTCTCTACTTCATATTTGTAATTTTTTAAAATAATATAATAGATATCTTGCATCATTTCTCCTCTGGTTATCACTCCTCTTTATGGTTTCCTCCTTCTTCCTCTGTTTTCTTTTTTTTTTTTAGCATTAAAATTTTGGGTCTCATCTCCAGAAGTTTGCTTTTCTACTGCTTCTTTGATACTCTCTGAGCTTGTATGAGGTGACAAAAGACCACAAACTAGGTATGACCCCTTTCCAGGATGTATTTCCATCTCTTGCATAACATCAAAACAAAGGACCTCGTCATATAGCAAGCAAAAAGAGTTCTCTTTATACAAGACTTTACTGTGTACTTAAATGCCAGGTTACTTTATATCTGACTAAAAAAAAAACTTAAGCATTTCCATGAAAAACAGCTAATGATCTGATAACTGTGATCCCAGTAATTGTTCAGGTGACAAGAGGCAGCATAGAGTACTTGATCACTAGTGTCCTGTAGTGACAATCTCTAGATGCTTTGGGGAAAATCTTTCAGGCTCACTTCAAGTTTAAGGTTTTCATCATGCTAAATTTCCTTGCGAGGTGTAAGAAGCTCAGATCCCCTACTCGCCGCCCCCCATCCCCAAAGCTTTTCTCTCCACCCCCTCCTTGAGCACGCCCCTGCCAGTGTTTGAAGAGACAGATACCATAATGACAAATGCTGTGAAATCAGATTAGTTGGAATATTAATTTGAATGGGGACTCCCTAGATTCAAGACCCAAGGCAGAGACAGTTTGAGCCAAAGCAGCAAACTGATTTCGGAAGATTCAGAACAGAGGGGAAAAAAAATGTAGAGCTGCCTAGCTTGGGCGTCCTCTCTCCATTCAGGAAAGCAAATCCTTAGGATCAACTGATCTTTCTACAAATGCCCTACACATTAATAATATACTTCCAGATTATAACAGAGGAAGAGGATTAAGACCATAGCTACATGTAAATTTGAAATAATATTGCAATCGACCTTGTAGAGGAAAAATAATCCTGTAGGATTTGCTTAGGTTGTAAAACAGACCCCGGAAAGGTTCATCACAGTTGTGGTAAGAAGAACACACTTTAGTTTTCAAATCCACACTAGTTACGATTTTGTGGTCAGCCTCCCCCAGACCCCCTCCCCCCTCCTGTGAATTTACTCAACTTTCAAAATCCTCTTCTTTCCCTCCCCACTCCATCCCAGAAAGCCTCACAGAGATAAAATGCTTCTCTTTGATGGCATACAAAGCTACAGTCTTTATTAGAACATCACCACATTATGTTATTTTAGCATATTTATGTATTTTGTAAGAAGACGTTTATAAAAGCTTATATTTGAGTAGGAATTTAACCCTAATCCAGAGGATTATATGCGACTCGGATTGGGACTGATCAGGAGAGGCAGCTTCCTTCCAGTTGAAAGTGAGGGGTGTGTCGCCGAAGTCTGCTACATTGGGTAGTGATGGTGGCAAGGAACCACACATCAAACTTTTTCCCTACATGAAAACTGATTGTGATCCCTTTGTAAGTCAGACGTAGAAGAGGCGGGGGCGGGGGGACACTCATTTTGGAAACAAGTGTCACCTTCAAAAGCTGTTACGAAGTAACCACCCCCTGGCAACCCCAAACGTGTCTTCTCAGTTTCTGTAACTTCATAGATTACCTGGCTGCTGCCCAGAAGGCAAGGTGAGCTAAGAACTCTGAGGGTTTTTTTTTTAAATTAAAGGCCAACTGACTCGTTCTTTGCTTCAGAGACAGTCCCTCCCGTCCCACTCCATCATTTGACAGGAGCCAGAAAACTTCAGGACCCAAATCATCTTTTTAATTTATTGAGGCAAAACAGGTCCTGATGGATGCCTCTAATTCACTATGCGCGCTCCCGGGGTACTTTTCGTTCCTTCCATGATTTTGATCTTAGATCAATGCATCGCATCACATGTAAGGCACCACGTGTGGGAATTCAATCCCCCTCCCCACTTCCCCAGAGACTCCCCACCTCACTCCTTGCCACCCCCCCTTACCCTGGGTCTGGTCAGCTGACCTCTTTTTCTCTCCTTCTTCATCACCCCGCCGCCCCTATTTCCGGTCCCCAGGGTACAGGGGGAGGGCAGGCCGGGAGATTTAGGCTCTGGATGTGTGTGAGCCTGTAAGGAGGTGATGCTAGGGGCTGATTAACATAATAAAGGCCGTGCCTGGAAAAGCCTACAACACGCGACTGTCAATCTCAGTTAAGGGGACAGAAGGGGGACAGTGTAGGAATCACCAGATAACTTAGTTGATGTTGTGTGGCAATGCAGGCCAGAAAAGAGTTTAGTCCTCACTCGAAAGTATGTCATTAACATTTTCAGACGCCAGCAGCAACACAAGGGATTTGAATGCTAGTGATACTGATACTTACTATCCTCTCTCTCTCTCTCTCTCTCTCTCTCTCTCTCTCTCTCTCTCTCTCTCTCTCTCTCTCTCTCTCTTTCTGAAAGACATCAGTCTTTCTCTAGTCTTTCTCCACATTCTTTTCCTACTGCACCCTTCCTCAATACTAACCCCGTCTGCTATTTACTTACCTTTCCCCCCCCTCCTTCTAGTTTTCTCCTTCTTCTTGAGTCTTTTACTATCTCCTAACATGTGTTCAGATTTATTATTGCATTTTTCAAAACAGAATACTTAATAGGTAATTAAGTTACCATCAGGAGATGAATGACAACCTATGTCTAAAAATAACTACATGGCAAACATGTAAGATAATAAAAGTCCACCTACACATTAACGTAGCATAGTAGTGTCAGTGAACAATGTAAAAAAAATCACACCAGTAGTAATAATAATAGCAATGCTATAGAATAATTTATTATTAATTCAGACCCCCCCCAACCAAATCCTGCAAAACAGTATCATTCCCATGGAGGTAAGAAATTATATTTTGCATGGAGGAGAAGATCTAGCCAATGTTAGCATTTTTCAGTCCCTTTACATAGCAATCTCAGCATAGCTTATTATAGCTAGTAGATTAGAACAGGTGACCTCTTAAATTTTGTAAACTTTTTTTTAATCAGTGCAACTTCTAAATGTGATTTTTTAATCTTAATGCTTATTTAAAAATAATGATGATTCAGTTAGATAAGAAATTTAAGCCAAACATAACAAGCCAAATTAAAAACTTACAGCATTGTTATTATTATTATTTCATCAATTCTAACAGGATTATGTCTATTAAAGCAGATGGATGAATGCATTGACAAATGTCTCATATAATGAACTCAGTCTTTTGAAACTTATCTTAAAATTTGGTCACGTTTCATGGATAGTTATTAAAATTCAAGTTAGCACATATTTACAAGTTGTTGTTTACTTTGTTGAATTTTTAAAACCTGTTGGAAGCCAATTTAA